AAGAAATATTCAACATTCTTAGCCTTAAAGACAATGCAAATAAACCACACTATGATTGTATCTCCAGTCAGATTGGCCAGCATGAAGAAAACGATCAACAAATGCTGAGGAAGATGCGGGGAGGAAAGCAACCCTCTGTTAGTGCGACTGTGAACTAGTGCAACCACTATGGAAATCAGTGTGGAGGTTTCTAAAAAGGAAAGGAAAAAAAAATAAATGACTAAAAGTAGACCTTCCATATATACACCATGTCACTCCCAGGAAAGTACTGGAAGGATTTAAATCAGTATATAAAAAAGACACTTGTGTATATCTACTCATTGCAGCTCTGTTCACAATAGCCAAACTCCAGAATCACCTGAGGTGCTCAATAACTGATGATTGAATAAAGGAAATAGGTACATATATCATAGAATATTAGCCATAAGGAAAATAGATGGAATTGGAGGAACATTATGCTGAGTGAGCTATCCCAAGCTCAAAAGCCAGATGTCACATTTTTCACTCATTTGTGGAATCTAAACCTAAGACATACATATTCGCAAACATGTATATAGACAAAATATTCAGATACATTCATACAGGTATACAGACACATGGTTGTAATTATACAATTGTTTAGGGAGACAAGGTGGATCGGAAAGAGAATGAGGAAGGGAAGAATAGTATCCTGGTACAGTGTGATTCCCCAAGGAATCCTCCTGAAAGCTGTTAGGCCACAGTGGTTGGGGAGGGGAGGGAAAGAGGGAGAAAAGGGGTTATTCTGATTTACATATGTGTATGTGTTGAAATATCATGGGGAATCCCTTGACATTATTAATATAAACTAAAATAAAAGCCTGTTGGGGGGTAGGTATCAGCGGGATGGGGGAGGGCAAATGGAGAGAGCAAATGAGGGTGAATCTGCTATCAGATATGCATGTATGAAACTAGACCGGTGAAACTAGTTGAGTGTGTTCTGATGCAGGACAGGAATGAGGGAGAGCGATGCGGGGAGACTGATCAGGCTCATTGTATGCTCTACAGACGTGCCACAGTGGGGAAACCTCCCTCCCCCATCTGTGACTAAAGTGAGCTAATTTATTTAGGTTGGTAAGGAGCTATTTGACCTTTTTGGTTATCTTAAGATACAATCAATTGTATTTCCAAAATAGGAAGCTATTTTTAAAAATTGTTCTTTAATAGATAATACGTGTATAAGGCACAAAATTCAAGTATAAAATGAAACCTAGGGAAAATAAGGTTTCTTCCCTGGAGGCAGTCATTATTTCTAAAGAATCCCTCCAGAATATGCTATACAAACATGTGATCGCGTACTTACCTTCCCCACACATTCTATTATAGACACAGTTCTACAACTTCTCACTTAACAATATATTTTGGAGGTATTTCCAAGTTAATACCAAGAGAACTAGTCCATTTTTAACAACCGAGTAGTCCTCATTAGTCCACTGTCGATGGGTGGGTGGCTTGTTTTCCAATGCTTTGCTAGGTATATTTTATTGTCAGTTGTGGGGCCTGAACTCTGGGCCTGGGCGCTGTCACTCAGCTCAAGGCTAGTGCTCTACTCTGTGACTGTGCCTTGCTCTCTGCCCCCACTCCCCACCCCCCCATCCAGTGGCCACTGAGACAGGAGCGTGACTCCATGCCTGAGCCAGGCCCTTATTCTCTCTTATCATGGATGATAGAGTAATCATGATCTTCTCTTCCTCACATTTATTTTCCTTGTGAGTGGCAGTATCTTCCTGATAGTCCAGTTTGAGCCTGCCTTTCCCAGCAAAGGTTCTGTGCTACCCTGCATGTGCCAGTTCATGATCTGACCCTTTCTCCTGTTTTGCCTTCTTCTGTACGGTATTTGTCTTCATAGCCATCATCTCCCTAGCTCATTTCCTTTGCTTTTATTGTGTTTTTGCACACTTCCATATCTTTGTCATACTGTTCTCTCTGCGTGGATACCCTTCTTTTTCCTTTCATATGACAAAATCTATCAGGTCAGTGACTCAGCTTTTCATTACGTAACAAATATATGAGAAGAGTAGACTTCAGGGACAGGTATAGTGGTTCACACCTATAATCCCAGCAACTGGAGAGGTGGAATTTGAGACGGTTGTGGTTAGAGTTCAATCCAGGCAGAAAGTAAGATTTTCCTCACTTGATGAAGGCAAAGCTGTATTATTTGTCTTTCAGCAATGTGTTTGACCACCTCCCCTACCCCCACCCCTGCCACCAAGAAGGAGAGATGCCCACTAATGCCAGGTCTGGGGAGCTATATTGTCTCCTTTAGTCTTTCAAACTAGAGAGCTTCTCCGGAATATGTCTTTGTCCCATGCCTCATTTTCTTGCCAGGGGAAGGATCTTGATTCTGCAGTGCCCATGGATTCACCCGGGCCCATTTTCCTTGGATGGGAAAGGCAACTCAGTACCAGTGTTTCAGCCAGACATGAATGGGCCAGAGTTCAAGCCCCATGACCCACCAAAAAAAAAAAAAAAAAAGAATGGGGATCCTGGGGTGATGAAGCCCAGTATCCTTGGTGTTTCTTTCAGTGGTGCAGTGTGGAGATTGCTCATCAGTCATTCAGAGCCTACCCAAGTCCCCTCTGGCTACTTGACAGGGTTCTTGCCAGCCAGAAAATGGAGAAAAACAGTGACAGTTTCTTCCTTCTTATTATTGGGCCCTTTTGTGTCCAAAATGATTTGGATATGAAGTGCCTCCAAGTATAACATCCAAAAACAACTATTTTTTCATTCAAGCCCAGGCTTTGGCTATGTGATTTACTAGTAACATCTATTAGGTACCCCCAGTACTATGTAATTGGGTTTCAACCCTAGCTGTGTGGTGTGGGCCAGTCTGGAGAGTTCCAAAGTTTGGGGAAAGATTTCTAATCACTGGATGGAACTATGTGATAAGCCAGCCATCCTAAGTCAGAGAGGTAGGCTGTCCCCTAGCTCCTCAAGTTCTCCTAAAAGCTGGGATAACAGGTGTGTGCCACCATGTCCAGCCAGGTCCTACCTGGATAGAACATCTTAAAGTTGCCACACATCCGCACAGAGCCCATTGGAGAACACACACAAAGCATATGATATACAAGCCATTGCACCATCCTCTCCCTTGAGATCTGAATGTTTCTCACTCTTTTGGACCTAAAGTACTTACTAAATATCTGCTTTAAAAAAAAAAAAAAAAAAAGCACCTGTTTTTCTTGTTTCAGATGAAGTCAGATATCCCTAAAGTGGTACAGCCATCAACCATCATCTCTTTAGGAAGTCTAAATGTAAACCTGGAAACCAGTGGCTCACACCTTTCATCCTAGCTACTGAGGAGGCTGAGATCTGAAGATCATGTTTTGAAGATAGCCCAGGCAGGAAAGTCCTTGAGACTCTTATCTCCTATTAACTACCAGAAAAGCCAGGAGTGGAGCTGAGGCTCAAATAGTAGAGTGCTAGCCTTGAGCAAAACAGCTCAGGGATAGTGCCCAGGTCCTGAGTTCAAACTCCAGGACCAGCAACAACAACAACAAAAAAAACCAATTCTCCATATATTTGTATTTTGAAAATAGTTATTTGTCTTGCAAAGCCCATCAGTTTCTCTCTTACACTTTAAGAAGTTATTTCAGATAAAATGAGTCTAATTTTGCCTGTGATGAGTCTCCTCACATTTAGCAGAGGCTTAAGGAAGGTAAGTGACTTACAGTCCTAGCAAGAACCCAAGTGTCCTGTCACCTGGTCTGGTATTGTCCTGAATGCTCAACAAGTGACACACCGGCATCAGGGGATGGATTCCCATCTCTCTTGCACAGTATAAGTAGAACAGCCAGGTCAGGTAGTTCACACCTGTAATCCCAACTACTCGGGGTGGCTGAGATCTGAGGATCACAGTTTGCAGCCAGTCCAGACAGAAAAGGCTGTGAGATTCTTATTTCCAATTAACGATCTAAAAACCAAGGAGGCACAAGTCACAGCTATTCTCGTTACCATATCCAAGTGCATTCCTGGATCCCGTCAGTGTTTCTGAACTATCAGAAAACTCCCCTAAAGTCTAATAGCTCAAAGTTGTCAGCCTGAAATGCTTGATAGATCACCTCACTCTGGCCAAAAACACAGTACAGCGTCTTCTCATTTTGGCCTTCTATAGTAGTATCCTCCCCTCCAGCCCTGCAGCTAAGGGACACCCACGGTTTCCGGTTGCCTGTGTCAGTTCTTTGTGTTTTAAGGGCTGGATGTTTAAAAGTTGAAGTCACTGACTTGCAAAATGAGAGGCTATTTTGGAGATCCTGTTGTTTCCGGGATTTTGCCATTTAGAGCATTGTTAACACTGAAAAGCTGCAATTTTAAGAAAGCAAACAATAGCGTCATTTATCAGGATAGGAAGCCGACTTCACCATCCCCACAAAGCCTTCTACATGTGTCCACACAAGATCTCTTAGAGATGGAAAGAAAGGAATCAGTGATCATATATTTTTATTTTGTCTTACTTAGTTATTAGTGCTGTTACCGGGGCTTTAACTTAGGACCTGGTTCCTATAACCACTTAAGCCTCAGCTCCACTTCTGTCTTTTTGGTGGTTTGAAAGATTCTCACAGACTTCCTTGCCAAGGCTGGCTTCGAACTTTCATCCTCAAATCCCAGCCTCCTGAGTAGCTAGAAGAACAGAAGTGAGCCACAAGCATCTGGCAGTGCTCCCATTTTTATATATGGAGATTGGCCCAGAAAGATCAAGGCCTGCGTGCTTCCTATTCACACAGTGTTAAATATCAACTTGTGTCTAGATGCACTTTGGGAATTTGTTTTACTGCTTCTGCAAAATAGCCGTGTCATCTGAAATTACATCAAAATAAGTAAACTATTTGGCAGGAAATAGCAACCATGGGTATATGGTAGCTGTGCCATCTTCTTTGCAATAGTTACTGAAGATAGAGCAGACTCTGCTTTTACCTTTGTAGGAAACCCAGCTGAGCAGCTGCTAATGTGGGGGGGGGGGTCCCTCTTCTGTGTCTCCCCAGGCGCAGTGAGCCTGCAGGCCGCCCTCACTCTTGGCATACAACCAAATGTGGGGAGAACCAACCTGATGCCAGCATGATGCAGATATCTCAGGGCACAATGGGCCCTCCTTGGCACCAAAGCTGTCACTCCAGGTAAGTGACTACATTTGAGACTGACAGGTTGGCCTCAAAGGTCATATTCCAGCCAAGAACACTTTCTGTGGCTTGAGAACATTGTACCCTGAGTACCATACCTCTCTCTCTCTGCTACTTTCTTCATCCTCTTAAACTCCATCTTCAGTTAGCAAAACAGCCTGTCTGGAGACATGGCCGAGGTGCGAGCGTGCCAGTCAAACTTGCAGGCAAGCTGAAAGAGAGCAAGAACCTAAATTCAAACCTAAATTCAAAATATTGTATCTGTTTCTTAATCTGATTGTTGCTGCTCATTTGAACTCTCTACTTGGTTTTTCTTCCTTTCTAAAGCAGTTTACCCAGCCTAGCTCAGCAACAGAACTAAGATAGGAAAGGACCTCTTTTTTTTTTTTTTTTTTTGGTCGGCTGTGGAGCTTGAACTCTGGGCCTGGACGCTGTCCCTGACCTCTTCAGCTCAAGGCAAGCGTTCTACCACTTGAGCCATAGCACCACTTCTGGTTTTCTGGTAGTTAATTGGAGATAAGAGTCTCACAGACTTTCCTGCTCAGGCTGGCTTTAAACTGTAATCCTCAGAACTCAGCCTCCTGAGTAGCTAGGATTACAGGCGTGAGCCACCAGCACCTGGCAGGAGAGAACCTCTTAGTATATACATAATTACATGTAATCCTGTGTGTGTACACTTGCATGCATTCATGCCATTGCTAGGGCTTGAACGCAGGGCCTTGAAGTTGCTTGGCTTTCGTGCTCCTACTCTGCCATTTGATCTATGCCTTCACTCTAGCTTTTCTGCTAGAGTGGACATGGAGTCTATTTCTGTCCTGGCTAGCTTTGAACCTTAATCTTCAAATCTTAGTTTCCTGAACAGTTCGGATTATAGGCATGAGCCATTAGGACCTAGCTATGAGTTTTTGTGAAGTTTTGTAAAGCAACTGTTATTAACTCTGTTTTACAAATCAGGAAAGATTAATTTGTCCAAAGTCAAACAACTGATCAGTACCTGAGTCAATGTCTTGACTTGAGCCAGGTTCCAAAGTTTTTGTATGTAACTGCTAGGTTACACTCCTTCTGCTTTCTAGTTTTGTCATGCAGGTTGGGGGCTAGTCAAGAAACACCCTATACAACTGAAAGGATTTAAGTGAAAGGGTGAGAACTTAGCCACTGACTGCAGAAACCATCTGATCCCAAGAGTCAGATTCCACAGGGCATCACTTTCAGGAAATGGTAATGGTAGGGAGTGGAAAAGTCAAAAGGAAAGTTACTACATACAAATGAGATACGAGTATTGGGGTGTGTGTGTGTGTGTCATCTTTTGCCATTTGGCAAGGCCAGAACTCAACCAGAGCCTGTAATGCTCATGTCTGCTCAAGGGCCCGATACCTCTAACTGGTGGACACAGGATAGACCCAGCATATCAAAGTAAGCTTCCAGCCACAGGAAGAAATGATTCTAGTGCCCCTCCCAGGGATGGCACACTGCCCTGGATTTATATACCTGGAGGTAGAGTCTTGAGGAGGTGAGAGGTAAGAGGGAGGAATAGCACCGAGCTAGAGAACTTGGGTTTTTAAGTCAGACCTCAGTTTAAAACTCATTCACCTACTATTGCATGAGCTTTAGCAAGTCACTTAACCTTTTTGATCTTAGCTTCCTTTTCTACCAAGTGAAATTAAGCCAGATACTAGTGATGTGAGCTACCAGCTACTCCTATCTACTCAGAAGGCTGAGATCTGAAGATCATGGTTCAAAGCCAGCCTGGGCAGGGAAATCCATGAGACTCTTATCTCCAATAAAACACACACACACACACACACACACACACACACACACACACAAACACACACACACACACCAGAAATGAGACTCTTATCACACACACACACACACACACACACACACCAGAAATGAGACTCTTATCTCCAATAAAACACACACCCCACCCCACCCCAGAAATGGAGCTGTGGCCCAAGTGGTAGAGCACTAGACTTGGGTGAAAAACCTAACGGACAGTAGCCAGGCCCTGAGTTTAAGTTCCAGTACCGCACAACAACAAAAACAAATTATTATATATACCTGGCCTGTGAGACACCACATTTACTCAGGCCTTGAGTTTTTAAAAAAGGGTCTTTTTTGTTGGATCATTGTAAGGATCAAGTAACAGTAAATGAAAATTGTATCAAGCTGAGGACTTAAACTAGAACACATTTATGTACTAACAGTCCCACTAAACAGAGGCCCTTTGGAGCTTCTTAACCCTTGACCTTCTTAGGAAGCCTCCAATCTGAACTCTTGCTGGTACTTCCCTGACCCCAGAATAAAAAAGGTGCTGATCCTACAACAGAAGTAAGACCACTGCCATCAATTCTCATGGTCCCTGCTTACAGTTATTATAGGGAGTTCTGGCAGGCCTGAGGGAGCAGTGGAGTTGGCATCAGAAGTATGTATTCCATAGATGCACACCAGTCCCCCAAGGCAGATTGATGTGCCCTGCTCCCATGTCCACCACCTGTCCCCGCTGATGCCAGGCTGTTGACACTGAAGTACCTGGTCATCACAGAGCGGGGAAAGAACAACCCAGGTTACCCCTACCACCACAGACATGTTGGGCCCCACCCTGGGGCTGTTCCTTCCATGCTTTGAGCTTGCAGCTCTGGCACAGGCTTCACCTACCTTGGCTGTGCTCACATGGTCTGGGAGTGGTAGTTGGAGGTGGCAAAGTGCTCCAGGTGTAATCTGAGGAGTACAGTGGCATCTAATGGTCTAGTGGCCAAGACAATTGGCTGCTTTCCCTCCTGGCAACCGTATTTAGTTCCCTAAACCCAGTCTCAGGCCTAAGTTCAAGGATGTGTTTCTCATTTGAAAAAAAAAGAATAAGGATGGGAGGGTAGAGTAAGGCAAGAGGGAGAGAGACGTACAGAGGTACTGAGGATGACTTATTTCTCTGACTACACGCTGGGCTAGACTTGGAGATTACTGATGTTATGTATGTGCATGCGCGCACGTGTGTGCATGCATGCACACACAACACACAGGTCCTGGAGCTTAACTCAGGGCCTTGCTTCCTCACTTGACTTTTTTGCTTATGGCTTCTGACTTTTCGCTGGTTAATTGGAGATAAGAGTCTCCCAGACTTTTCTGCTCTGGCTGACTTCAAACTGAGATCTTCAGATCATAGCCTCCTACATAGCTAGACTTACAGGCATAAGCCACCAGCACCCTGCAGTTCACTGAAATTTTCTCAACTGCTGAAGCCAGACCATTGCCACTGTCTTTTTGTTGCCTATAGTACTACTGTATTAAACTGCTGAAGGATACCATAACGTCATGTATGTAGGTCAGCCTCTGATTAGAGACAGAATTACATTTTCAAAATGCCTACCAGCCAGGTGCCAGTGGCTCACACCTGTAATCCTAGCTACTCAGGAGGCTGAAATCTGAGAATTGCAGTTTGAAGCCAGCCCAGGAAGGAAAGTCTGTGAGATTCTTATCTCCAAAAAAACTACTCAGAAAAAGCTGGAAGTGGTACTGTGGCTCAAGTGGTAAAGTGCTAGCCTTGAACCAAAGAAGCTTAGGGACAGTACCCAGGCCCAGAGTTCAAGCCCCAGGACTGGAAAAAAAAAAAAAAAATATTAACCTACCAGGATGTAGCAAGTGATTCACTCATCACAGAAATGAGTCTCCACTCTCAAATGGTTTCTTGGTCTGGGGGTACAATACTTGTGTCTCAAAGTGTGACTCAGAGTGATTATTCCTTAAATGCTCAGATGCTCCTTGGAAAATGTTGCTAGGACCAAATAAGTTTAGGAAATATTGCTTAGTATATTTATGTGCCTCTTAGACCAACATGCAAACAAGACTTCTAAGTCTTACAGTAAATAATAGTGTTTAGCTTATTTAGCCCAGTGTTTTCCAAGCATATTTAATCATCTAAGGAATAAGTTTTCATTAAGTACATTTAAGGAAATGCTTCCATATACTGTGTCTTAAGAATTAAAAAAATACTTTAAGACACATACACTAATATATGAGTGCACTTATCTGCTACCAAATTTAACAACACATTATTGTATATGCTACTCATCTTTTAGGGATAGAACTGAAGGCTTCCATATAACCAGAATTACAACCATTATTTCATAATGTCAAGTAGTGATCGGGAATACAGAGAAAACAGAGGGAATGTAAGCAGAGATGGTATTTAGTGCCAAGAAAACTCTGGTGGAAAGCCGCCAGTACAAAGGCTCTGGGGCAGGAATGTGTCTCATGCATTTAGTTACCGTTGGGAAGCCATTATGCTAGAATGCAGTGAGTAAGAAGGAAGCAGTACAACAAAATGGTGAGACAAAGGACTAAGGGTGACCCAGTACAACGGTGATACTCGCAAGACACTATGCTGGAAATGAACTTTACACGGGGTGAGTGGGGTGGGGACGGACAGTGGGAGCAAAATGAGGGAAGGGTAACAATATTCAACAAGAAATGTACTCATTACCTTACATATGTCACTGTAAACCTCTATAATCTTTATAATAAAAGGAAGCAGTAGACAATATGGTTGCTAAAGAAGCAGATCCTAGTAAGGACTGTGACCCACTTAAGACATCCTTGCTGTTCTCGTAGTAGTAAGGCTATCTAGGTTGGGATGGTGACAAGATTGAAAACATCATCCCAAATTATTCTACTCCATGCCCACTCATTAATGCCACCTATGAAGCAGGAATGATAACGTTAATAGAAAACAGTATTTCTAGATAGTAGTGGGAAAATGCGTTCCATATTTCCCAGGCACAGTCTGCCTGTGATTTATATTTCTAGGCAGTCTGTGGTTTGAAATACATTAGTGATAGCATTTTAGCCATTCTGTTTAGTTGTGTGTGTGTGTGTGTGTGTGTGTGTGTGTGTGTTCCTAGGCTAGGTTTAAATTATTCTTTTAGTAAAAGACTGAGGAAATTTGGGGGCGAGGGGAGGATTCAGTTCATGGAATTGGTGAGTGAGACAGCCCTCAGGGCCAAGTGCTTCCTTTCCCCCTGAACATACTTGGTCTGAATCTTCTGTTGAAAATAAAAGGAGGCATAATGGCTATTGTACAGAGGGGTTACAGTTTCATGAGTACATCTCCTGTCCAGCATTGTTACCTCCTCCTTTGTTTTTCCCCTACCATCCCTTTTCTCCCCACTTCCCCAGCTCCTACCCCCCCCCCCCCACACAAGTTGTAAAGTTCATTTTCAACATAGTGTCTTGTACATCTCATTGTTACAGTGGGTCAACCTGTATCCTTATTTCAGCATTTTGTTATTTCCCTTCTCCTACCCAAATCAGAAAAATGTATATACAAGATACAGGGCATCGGAATCAAATACAGTAAAAACAGGGGTTATGCCATGGAGGAAGAACATACAAAAGAAACAACAACAAAAATCACATTATCTATACATTAAAAACAACAGCAAGAAAGATAAAACCTCTTGCAAGGAACTTTTTGTGTGTGTGTGAACATACTGTACAGAGGGGTTACAATTACATGGGCAGGATAATGCATACATTTCTTATGAAGCATTGCACCCTCCTCCTTTGTTTAAAAAAGGAACTTTTTAAAGAAAAGAGATACAAGTTTTGGAAGCTAAAAAGTCTAATACTGAACAATCCCACTAGTTTGTCTTTGGTGAAGACCTAACAGTGGATGGTATCACAACACGGGGAAGGCATGAGGGAGATGGAGGTCACATATCTTGAAAACAGGAAGCCAGAGATTAGGGATTAGGGAATCAGGGATTAGGCTTACTCTTAGAACAACTCTCTGGAGAGCTTCCCACAGAGATAGCTTACTCTCTTCCATAGGTAACATTCAGTGACTTTCCCCTAGGCCCCACATAGAGATCAGACTTTGAACACATGAACCTGTAGACAACAAACCACAGCCCAAAAACCATGGCAGAAGGTGATTGTTGGATGCATTCAGAAATCTAGAGTAACTGTAGTTGTGTGAAGAACTGCCAGACTGTCTTCCAAAATGGCAGCCCATCTTCTGTACCCAACTCCTGTTGGTCTACATCCTGATCAGAATTTGATGTGATATTGTAGTCCCTGATTTTAGTTGTTCTAGTTACTAAATAATGGTATCTTATTGGCAATTTCCTAATGACAAATGGTATACAGCATCTTTTCGTAATGTTTATTTACCAATTGTGTCTCCTTCAGTGGAGAATTTGCTGGTTTTTTTTTTAAATCAGGTGCATGTTTACCTGTTGAGTTTTGAGAGTCCCCTATTGAAGTATATTTTGAGTTTATAATTAAAGCTCTTTATAAGCGATTTTGTTTTGAGGGAATTTTCTGGGGTATATAATACCTAGATGAAGATTCCTTTCCTCATTCCCCAGCCAGGCTCAGAAAACCCACCTGGACAAACTTGTTAATGCAAATCTGATCCTCTTTAATGGACATAGAGGCTTGGGAAGTTACTCAGAAGTGATAAAGACTTCTTTTAAAGCCTTCCTCTCCTTCCCTCTCTCATCATTTTCTAACTCTCATCTCTGTATTTCTCTCATTCAGCTTTGTGTTTAGCTTTCTCATTGCAAACCAATTGTCTCTTGTACAGTTTTGATTCCAGGAATATTGCCAGGATGTAGCTTTCAGTTCCTTAAAAAGGAAAGATATTAACTAAAATCATACACATGTGCTCATAAGTCTCCCTCAGCCCTCACGTGCCTGATCTCTTACTCAGCTTGCCTCTTTTTTTTTTTCCCTCCCATCTCCAATAGACACAAAATTTCAGCCTCTGTCACTTTCCCTTCCTCCTTTCTTTCCTCTCCCATCTCCCGGCACGTGGAGAATGTTGATTCCAGCACAACAGAGCTCATCAAAGTGCTGCCTGTGTCCAAGGCCACATTACTTTCTCTGTGCATCCCTTCTCCTAGCTTGTCTGGATGATTCATTAGCGGCACATAGGCTACAGCATTGGGCAGTTAATCCTAGTGATGACACAGTGAAGCTGAACAAGGCCCAAATATGGCCCTTTTTACTGACCCTTTCAAAATCCAAACATTACATAACAGTACATTTATAAGCTGGGTCCTGTGCCTGGAGACCTACTAAATAGCTCCTCAGTGGTACTGACTGCTTTTCCTTTCTTCCAGCTCATCTACAAGTGACCTCTCCAGCTTCGACCATGCTTATCTGAGGCGGAGCCCTGACCAGTGCAGCTCCCAGGGGAGCCTGGAAAGTCTGGAGCCCATTGGGGGAATCTCAGCCTGCCATCTTCTTTCCCCTGCCAAGTCTACGAGCAGCATTGACCAGCTCAGCCACCTCCATAACAAGAGAGACTCGGCATACAGCTCTTTCTCCACCAGTTCTAGCATCCTAGAGTACCCACCCCCTGGTGTCACTAGCCGAGAGCGGTCAGGCTCTATGGACACTACTTCTGCCCGCGGGGGCCTCCTAGAAGGGATGAGACAGGCAGATATCCGCTATGTCAAGACAGTCTATGATACCCGGAGGGGAATCTCAGAAGAGTATGAGGTGAACTCTTCAGACCTGCTGCTTCAAGGTCGGGAGGCCCACCCATCAGCAGATGATCAGGGCTATGATAAATGGCATAGCATTTCTCGGAGCAAGGGAGCACTATCCTCATCTTGGAGCCAGCCGTGCTCCAGTTCCTTAGAGACTGGCCCTGACAACCTGCCTCATAAAGTGGGTGCACCACAGCCCCCAACTCGGAGTGACAGTTATGCAGCCTTTCGGCACCGAGAACGACCTAGCTCTTGGTCTAGCCTTGATCAGAAGCGCTTCTGCCGGTCTCAGGCAAATTCTTCGGGCTCCTTGAAATCTCCATTCATAGATGATCAGCTGCATCCTGTCCCAGAGAAGAGTCCAGAAAACAGCCCCCCAGTGAAGCCCAAGCATAATTATATTCAGAAGGCCCAGCCTGGCCAACCACTGCTGCCAACTGGCATCTACCCTGTACCATCCCCGGAGCCACACTTTGCCCAGGTGCCCCAGCCTTCTGTGAGTAGCAATGGTACACTCTACCCTGCACTGGCCAAGGAGAGTGGATATCCAGCCACCCCTCAGGGAGCTTGCAACAAGATAGCTGCCTTTGATGAGAATGGAAACCAAAATGGAGCTAGCAGACCTGGATTTGCCTTCTTCCAGCCTTCAGAACATGACTCACTGGAGAGGAAACCAGAAACCACGGTCAAATACGTCCCCTACAAAGTCCATTTTCCTTCAGTGCCTGAAAATGAGGAGGATTCCTCCCTAAAGAGACATCCCACAGCTCCAGAAGGCAACAGTGTTCATTACAATGAGAGAAAGAACACTCATGGCAACAAAGCGTGTTCTAATCACCACAGCCTCAAATCTCCTCAGGCCCAGGCCTGGCAAGTGGGTGGAGACAAGAGGTCTTCTAGGCTCCTGGAACCCTGGGAGAGTGATTTCCAGGAAGACCATAATGCCAACCTTAGGCAGAAGCTGGACAGAGAAGGCCTAAGCCACAGCCAGTCAGGCAACTTTGGCAGGACCAAGTCGACCTTCTCATCGCTCCAGAACATTCCAGAGAGTCTGAGAAAGCAAAGCAGCCTGGAGCTGGCTGAGGGAGTGCAGGAGAGTTACCCTGTTGGCAGGTCTACCTGTGCGGTCAACACCAAGCTGGAGGACTCTGCAAGGAAAGTGCTCCCTGACCACAGAGGCCACCTGGACAGGCCCGTTTCCTATGCGAGGCCTGAAGGGAGATCCAGTACTTCACCCTCTATCCACCGTGCCGATCCAAGCTATGAAGAGCCCCCCACCCCTCCATACCAGCAGACATCCAGCCTGGGCAGGAGGAGACTCAGCTCCGGCAGCACCTCGGCCCTGCAGGGTTTCCAGTACAGGAAGCCCCACTGCTCTGTGCTGGAGAAGGTGTCCAAGTTCGAGCAGCGAGAACATGGGAGCCCCCGGCCCCCCAGTGCAGGCCACACCTACAGGAGGGCCCCGACGTCCAGCACTTCCGGGAGTGACCTTGAAGAGACAAAAGCCAGCCTCCGGAGCCCTGAGAACACGGAGCCCTTGGGCAATGAGGGGCAGCACTTCAGAAGCGGGGAGCCCAAGCTGGAAGAGGCCTCTTGGCAGCCTTGCGGTCAGCAGCTGAGGAGGACTGAAGAGGGGGGCCGTGGCCCCCCAGTCCGAGTCAGCGAGCCCCCAAGGCCCGACGCCCGCTTGCTCCGCAGCCAGAGCACCTTCCAGCTCTTCAGCAAGGCGGACGGAGACGCCCCGGGGCCGGAAGACAGGCCCGGCGGCGCCCCCGCGTCGCCCCTGCTCGACGCGCCCTTCAGCCGCACCTACAGGAACAGCATCAAGGACGCGCAGTCCCGGGTCCTGGGGGCCACCTCCTTCCGGCGCCGGGACCTGGAGCTGGGGGCCCCCGGCGCCTCCAGGCCCTGGCGGCCACGGCCAGCCTCGGCCCACGTCGGCCTGCGATGCCCAGAGGCCCTGATGCCAGCCTCGGCCTCCCCGCACACCCCGCGGGAGCGGCACAGCGTGACCCCGGCCGAGGGCAGCGCGGCCCAGCCCCTGCCCACCCCGGCCCCCGCCGCCGCCGCCCTCCGCAAAGGCCCGCGCCGCCGCCTGACCATGGAGCAGAAGAAGCGCTCCTACTCGGAGCCGGAGAAGATGAACGAGGTGGGGGTGTCGGAGGAGGCCGAGCCTGTGCTCTCGGGTCTGCACCGGCCCGGGGTACTGCGGTACCCCGAGAGCAGCGTGGCCGACCGGCGCCGCCTCTTCGAGCGCGACGGCAAGGCCTGCTCCACGCTCAGCCTGTCGGGGCCCGAGCTGAAGCAGTTCCAGCAGAGCGCGCTGGCCGACTACATCGAGCGCAAGACCGGCAAGCGCCCCGCCACCGCCGCCGGCTGCGGGCCCCAGGAGCCGGGGCTGCCCGAGCGCGCCCAGAGCGCCTACCTCCAGGCCCCCGACGGCCCTGGCCTGGCCTCGGCCTGCAGCCTGAGCTCGCTGCGGGAGCCCAGCTGGCAGCCCCGCAAGGAAGCCGCCCTCTCCCCGCCACTGCCAGCTGCAGCCACGGAGACCCCCAGGGCCCCTCGAGATCGCAGCAGCTCCTTTGCCTTCGCGGGTGCACGCTTCCCTGGAGAACGGCGACGCTGGGATCCCCAGACCCCGAGGGAAATGCTCAATGGTGCTAGCTGCGGACCAAGGGGCACCCAGAAGCTGGACAGAAACCCTGGAGGGTCTTCATCCTGGGGGAACGTGGCCAGGAGAACCGGGAAGTCCATGTCAGCCGAGGACCTGCTGGAGCACTCCGATGTGCAGGCTGTCCCTGTCCACGTGCGGTCCAGGTCGTCTCCCACTGCAGACAAGAAGTGCCAGGTGAGTGGAGGCAGTAGGGTTTGGTCCTGGAAGATCTGGAGTGCGGGGGATCCTCTAACCCCTTCCTTTTCTTTTTGGATCAGTTTTCCTTTTAAATAGAGAAACGTAGCATTTGTTTTCCAGTAAATTTTTTTTCCCTCAGCACCCCAACCTGGTTTACCTTCAGAAATATAATGTCTGTATAGTTATATAGATATCTTACATAGCAGTGTATTATATGGTATGGGAAAGTTAAGGATTATCTCTCCCCCCCTCCCCCCCTTGGAGACCATGTATGAATAGGGCATCTACAAATTAGCAATAGAATTACTGACAATGATACTCATTGGTGGTTGATTTCTTCCTGGCCATCAATTAATGACGCTTTACACTTACTCATCTTTCTGTGATTTTCATCTGAGCTCTGAAAGAAGGAAAAATTAGACTTTGAAGATTTCACATCAAAGCATTTTCCGATGAAGGCTCTAAACTGTGCAAAGATTTTAATATGGGGCTGGGAAGGTGGCTCAGTGGTAGAGCTCTTACCTTGCATGCATGAGACCCGGGGTTTGATTCTTCAGCACCACATAAGCAGAAAAAAAAAAGCCGGGAAGTGGCGCTGTGGCTCAAGTGATAGAGTTCTAGCCTTGAGCTGAAGAGTTGAGGGACAGCACCCAAGCCCAGAGTTCCCCACAACCGGACCCAAAAAATAAAAAAAACTTTAAAAATTAAAATAAAAAAAAACGATTTTAATATGATTTTTACCCTCCTCAGGAAATTTCAAGCAGCTAGACCCAGAACCTGAGCATTTGGGTGTAGAAGTTGGTTAATTTTCCTAATCCTTATGCCTTTTCTGGCTCTCCTTTAGACATCAGAGGCCAGCCCCTCAGTTCCCTTCCCAGTGAAGATGTAGGAATTCACCTGTGGGTTGGCCAGGGAGATAGAATACCCCTCCATTACTCCTTGTTAGACTTACCTGTTTCCTCTGGAGAAAGTCAACCATCCCAACAAGGATTTGTGGAGCTTACATTGTCTGAAAAATGCCATGTTGGAGGATAGAAGGAAATAAAGAAAATAGGACTTATACTTTGCCAGGGCTGGTGCAATTAATATATTAGAAAATTCTGGAGGAGTGGAGATAAACCCGATGCTATAGAAGAAACTTCTGAAGGAGATAGGATTTGAACCTGATGCTAAAAGATGGGCAGGACTTCAATGGAGAATTTGGGTATACACTAACAGGAGAAAAGCACTTTTAGACAATGGTTTAATAGTTAGGCAACTCGGAAGTCTGCATTGTTTTTGAAACACATAAAGTTACACACAGCCCTCTGAAAGAAAATTCTGTAATTTCCCAGATATTTTCTGCTCAGAATTATCCAGTGATAGATCTCCCAGTATAAATTCCCATTTTACCCATACGTACACTTTCTATAAGCCTTCCGTGGCAAATTTCTTCCCTTCCAAGTGAAAAGCAGTGCTAATTTCTGCTCCTTACCCTACCATTAAAACTCATGTAAAATTTGGGCTGGGAATGTGGCTTAGTGGTAGAGTGCTTACCTAGCATTCATGAAGCCCTGAGTTTGATTCCTCTGGACCACATACACAGAGAAAGTGAGAAGTGGCACTGTGGCTCAAGGGGTAGAGTGCCAGCCTTGAACAAAAGAAGCTCAAGGACAATGCCTAGGCCCTGAATTCAAGCCCCAGGACTGGCAAAAACAAAAAACAAACAAAAAAAAACCCTCATGTCAAGTTCATATGTGTACTGTGATATTTTAGCTAGCTTTGTAGACACCAGTATTTGACTGATGGCAGTTGAAACATTTTCTCTCTTTCTCTCTCTCTCACCCAGTGTTGTAAAGAAGATAGAAATTCTTAGGTGAAAGCCCCATCAGCTTTCCATTTTTCTGACTCAGGGAATTTCCTGGATAACTATGAATATTATTTTTTGCCTTTTTCTCTAAATATTTCACAAGTCTGGCCTGTTGGGAAATAGAGTTAAGTAAAAACATAGTTGTGTTGTAGGGAAGTGAACAGACTCCCTCAAGTTCCCACTAAGTATATTATTTGAAAAACTTGAAGATAACTAAATACAGAATGTTCAGATGGCCCTTAAATAAAGAGCATACCACACATAGATATGTCATTTAGGAAATATGAAGCCATGGGGGAAAAGTTCTCAAAATGAAATATCATTTTTGTGCTGCTTCGTACCAACACATTCTTGAGTTTCCTTCTCTCATTTCCCCATCTAGCAGCCAGCACTTAGCCTAAGAGAAACAGCCTCCAGGGTCTGTTCTTTGCATGCTGTTCCTTAACTCTTATTTCCATTAACAAAACCCATCCAGCAACCAACACTAGCCTAAGAGAAATAGCATCCCTCCCTCATGGTTTGCTCTTTGCAAGGCTGCTCCCTAACTCCCTTATTTGCGGTTAAAACAAAATAATTAAAGTCCATCCGGACCAGCATTGGTCTAAGAGACAGACTCCCAGGGTCTGCTCTTTGCATACTGTTCCCTAACTCCCTTATTTGTGAGTGAAACAAAATAGTTAAAGGTAAAACGGGGGCTGAGGATGTAGACCAAAGATAGAACACTCAATTTTCATATACAAGGCCCTAGATTTTAATCCCAAGCATTAACAACAAAAACAAAATTAATCTTACCTTGTAACTAATTTAGTTACTTGTTCAAACTACATTCTGAGGGCTGGGAAGGTGGCTCAGTGGTAGAGTGCTTGCCTCACATGCATGAGGCCCTGGGTTCGATTCCTTAGCACCACATAAGCAGAAAAAGCCGGAAGTAGAGCTATGGCTCAAGTGGTAGAGCTCTAGCCTTGAGCTGAAGAGCTGAGGGACAGCGTCCAGTCCCAGAGTTCAGGCTCCAGGACTGACAAAACAAAAAATACAGTCTGACTTTTGAAATAAATTTTTTATAGATTCTAAGAACTTTACCATTATCATTAAACTTTTGTGAAGGTTTATTATTTTCCTTATCATAGAGAACTTGTACAAGTTGAGTGACCTTATAAAGAATGAGCTAAAATGAAAATGTGGACTCTTATTTGTGACCCTGGCTTATTTTAAGACATCTCCAACATCATCCTGTTCTTGCCAATCAGATGCTAACAGAGCAGGTTTTTGAGTTTGTTTTGGTGTTACTGGAGTTTGTAGTCTAGGCTTTGTCCTTGCTAGGCAGACACTACCACTTGAGCCACATCTTCAAGCCATCTATTTATTTATTTATTGGTATTAGGGTTAAACTCGCCATACATAAATTAAGCAGGCCCTCTACCATTATAAGCATTTAACAAGGGAATACTTCTCAAAATTCTGTTAGTGAGGACACTTTCTGTCTCCAAAAGCAAGTCATGATGGGAATCTATTCTCCATATGACAATTGTTCTCAGCCTGAAGTAATGACTGAATTGAAAATAGCCTGAGATCTGCTCAGATATTTGGCAAGATTGAGCCTCTTCTTAGCTAGCTTGGTGTCCTAACTAAAACATGTACCTCCCATTTTCTCGCTTTAATTTCCTCATCATTTGAACGGTGTAATTATAGAACGGATAAGATATCAGGGATGAAGCTTCAGAGCACATCTTAGTAACTTTGTGCAGACCTTGGAAAACAACTTGTAAAGTGGATAGATAAGCCCTGCAGAGCAGTAGAAAAATACTCAAATATTCTGCTTCAGTAACACATTTACCCCCTCTTTATTGCATAGACTAAAATATACTAGAGCCTATTAAAAAAAAAAAAAAACCTTGGGAGAAACAAGATTCCTGGTGGGGATTTGTTTCCAGATGCTGAGTGAGCAGCTTCTCTGGTTCCCAGATTCACCTTGTGATGGTGTGACAGACCTTGTTTATCTGCTAAGGAAGTTGTCCAATCAACAAATGGCATCATAGTGCTGGATTCTATGGCTTGATTTCATGGGGCACAGCTAGTAAGCCCTTTCTAGCATCTCTCAATAAGCAATCATTTAATTTTAGGCATAAAACAACCAACTCTCTACAAAATGTGAAGTTACAAGTAGATAACCATAATCAAAATTGGTGAGACCACCAGTCATTACACTAAGTGTAAAGTATAATATTTACAAATATAGTAGAGCTGTGGCTCAAGTGGTACAGTGCTAGCCTTGAGCAAAAAGCAAAGGAACAATGCCCAGGTGCTGAGTTCAAGCCCTAGTCATAGCTCTCTTGCTCTTTTGCTCTCTCTCTCTCTCTCCATAGATAGATATCTGTATATGTATATATATAATTAGTGCAATTATATCTATGCAATTATATCAATAGGCCCTAGTAATAACAATATATACATACACATATATCAGTGGAATTATTTACATATTATTACTTCTGTGTTAAAAAAGAGGAATGGACATCCAGGGAGGGTAAGAAATTGGCCCAAGGTGGTTGAGAATCATGATTTGACTCCATACTGTCTGACTTCAGAGTCCTTAAGTCACTATGCTATGCCGACTTGGGAATAGAGGCTAAGGTAGGAAATGGGAAGCAAGAGTCAAACAGCTTACCTCCTATCATCCAGAGAAATGAGTTCATGTTTATGTTTATCAATTACTATAACATTTAGGGGAGATTTTTCATATGGATCTTTAATTTTAATCAATTTCTATGCCACAGAGATATTTGAATGCCTTAACACAGGACCAAAAAATGAGGATTTGGATTCAAAACACTCAGAATCCTAAATTTGCCAGTATCTTTTTAAATCAGTTTTGAGATAATTAACAAAAAATAAATTCAGTTGGTATAATTCTATTTCTGATACTTCTCTCATAATGTATTTCTCCACTTTAATGCCTTCTTTATAGAAAATTTAAGAAAAATAAAAAAAATCAAGTCTTGACAATGAGCATATATTAAAATCGTAGTGAGAACATGCAACGAGCAGTCGGGTACCAGTGGTTCATGCCTGTATTCTAAGTACTCAGGAGGCTCAGATCTGAGGTTTGACATTCAAGGCCAGCTCAGGCAGGAAAGTCCATAAGACTCATCTCTAGATAAACACCAAAAAGCTGTAAATGAAGCTGTGGCTCAAGTGGTAGAGTACTAGCCTTGAGCAAAAGAGATCAGGACCCTGAGTTCAAGCCCCAGGACTAGTACCCAAATTTTTAAAAGGGGGAAAAAAAGAAAAATACAATGAGAATTTAGACTCCTTGGGCTTCTAGTTTGGGAAAGCATACTCTGTAGATCCAAATAGTATTTTGTTTGACCAGAAATTTAAAGAATTTTCTCACTAACCTATAAATAACCATATAAAAAACAATTTAAAGTTGAAACTCAAGGACCAGATCATTTGGATACAGAAGTTAGTTTCATTTCATACTGAAATGCAAAGAATATAAACATAAATAAACTGTACTGCTTTAGGAGTTCAAATGGGGCTGGGGATTATTCCAAATAATTACTGACAAAGTGGCATCTTCTTGTCAACAGGGGAAAGGGGTGGGAGACGATATAAAAGACCATAAGATTTTATGGGGCACAGGAATTTCTGTAGGCTGCTTTTCTTCTTTGAGCAATCTCTGGCTCTCTGTGTCTGTCTCTCATCCACACAAACATGCACATGTTATGAATGCTAATATTCCAGGCATATAATTTGTAGATTGCAAGGGGTACTTAGTGGTATCTGCCACACAGCAAATTCCCAATGAGGGAGAGCTCCAGTTATCCACACTCAAAATGTTTGTTTGTTCTTCCACCACCTTTGCATTTTCCTTGCTTATGAATGCCTCTACTTCGGACTGAGGCAGGGAAAGAGACAAGGGGATAAAAGGCCATTAACCCTTTGAACAGGCTAAATGGTGAGCTGAATCATTAAAAGTAAGTTTCAGATTGTCTGTGAATTTTAGTTAGGAGTTGAATGCATTATCTTTATCACGGACCAGACCACCTGGGATAGACTTTACATTATCATTTGATACTATTTACCCTTCAGGACTCCATAATATACCCTTATTTAAAAACTATCCCAAAGAAGTCCTCAGACTTCTTTGTATCAATTGTGGATGAGTTTTTTTTTTTTAACCAAGTGGGAATACAACTTGGGATTACAAATTCAGATCTCTTACTATACCTCAGAATACTTGAGCTTTTTCTCAAGATTCAGTAATCCTCCTTTTTCTGTCATTTCTCATGTTTCCTTCCAGTCATTGGAGTCACTGTTGTCAACATTGCATTTCAAGGGTTGCAGTCATTTTGAACTCTGGAGATAAGCAGACAGATTAAAGTTCAAATCCTGACTGCCACTTTTGGTCTTGAGCCTATGTCCAGGTTGATGCTGTTGAGACTAATACTACCTAGAACTTTGAGACCTAAATGTAAAGTATGCCATAGTGCCTAACAATACTAAGGAATAAATTAGGTTTCCTTCCTCCTCCCTGTACACTACTGGCCAATGTAAACACCTGTTTTACTGGTAATTATGCTGTGCCTTTCTTATGTTTCAAGGATGTGCTCTTGGGGGAAGACAGTGGCTTTGGTTTTGTGAAGAATCCATGTCATCTAACTGACTCTGGATCTACGTATGTATATATACTTTGATACCCTCTGCCTGTGCATGCTCTTGGGGTCAAGCTACTCCTGGTCCTTTATACAGGAGATGGAAGTGGGACATGATGTTGAATAACATCAAGGGCTGCCTTTTCAGTAGCCTGTGGGAAACATTTCATTTATAAGTTGAATTTTTCTAAGAATGACACTTGGTACAGAATGGGCTCTGAATGGCTGCTATTGAGGCAACATTTGATTCTATCGAGTTGGCTGTCAGGATAGTTCATGGCAATGCTTCTCTCAATATAACTGGTGACGTGCACACATGGGACCTAGCTTGTGTGGCTGATCTCTCCCAGGTATATGTGTGTACACACGTCAGATCTGACAACAAAAGAACCAGGGAAAGAGTAGGCATTCCTTGAACTGCGTCACTGAGTGAGACAAATGTACAGTAAGCCACCTCATCATCATGAGAGATAAAAGGCAGCATCAGTTTGCCTTCAAAATCATGTCTTCTAAGTGGAATGGTCTAATAGACTATTTTTTTTAACAATTTGAACAAGTACAGATGTCCCAAGAGGGTTTTCCTTGAACTACATCTATGAATAGTTTTTATGCTACAGCCTCATAGAGCTGTCTGCTACAATATTATTATTACTAATGATAATGTACTTAAATCTTCTCTGCCAATTTGCATGGTTTTTCAAGTCATTTTTTCCATTTTTCTCAATTCAACCATGCCATGGAAGTGAAGACCATGCCCAGAGGGTCTGCCTCTGGTTGTTTAGCTTCCTCCCAGGGGTGTCCTCCAAGGAGTGCAATACAGCCCTTCTTAGGTGTGGAGGGGCTGTGTTGGGAAGGGAGGACTGCATCTGGGAGAGAGATGGGCTATTGCTTAACCATCTGCATCTTTATCAAAGAACAATACATTCAGCCTGGAGAAGAGCCGATTCGGTTCTCTGCAGGCTATGTTATCCTGGCCTGGCACGTAGTGGGTTTAGTGGCTGACCCTGCGGTGTTGCTGTGATGTGGGAGTGAGGCCCAACCCCCTCCTAGGAAGCAGTGCCATCCGCTCTCTTGCTCTCTCGTCAGGGACTGCAGATGTGGCATTTACTGATGATTTGCTGTCTCCTAGCTTTTGCATTGCTCTCTGTCAGCGCTGCAATCTGTTTTCTTATTCTTTTATTTCCGTGTTTGAAAGGGGAAAAAAATATTGCTGTCTAGAGAACAGTTTAAATCACCATGCACCATTTTTGCTTCTTACTGCATTGTCTTTCCTCAGAGGTAATTGCTTATGATGAGCTCTCAGTTCCGATCCCCCCTTTCTGTTGTTCATCTTAGGAGATGAAAACACTGGGAGACTCGGAAACAGTTGTAAGTAAACCTTCCAAATTTGCCAGGCACTAGTGGCTCATGCCTGTAATCCTAGCTACACAGGAGGCTGAGAACTGAGGATCATGGTTCAAAGCCAGCCAGGGTAGGATAGGATAGACCATGAGACTCTTATCTCCAATTAACCGGCAAAACACCAAAAGCGAAGCTGTGGTTCAAATGGTAGAATGCCAGCTTTGAGTGAAAAAGCTGAGGGAACGTAGGCCCAGGGCCTACGTTCAAGCCCCAGCATTAGCAAAAAAACAAAATAAAGCCCATGCAAGCTCTCCAAGTGCTCCACCCCCAGACGTGGTGTTGGTAGGAGCCAAGCAGTCCTAAAAGGGCCTGGCAGTGGCCTCCTCCTGTCCTTTCCTGTCCTGCAGTCTGCCCTCAAAAGCCACATGTGTGGGCACACGTGCATGCGTGTGGTATGTGCGTGAGGGTTACCAGCAGGAAATGCCCTGAATGCAGGCATTTTTTTTAGACCTTCATAATACTTTGTTCTGACTACAAGCAGCCAGGGAGAGCTGTTGTTTGTGGTCCCATCACTTAACCATCTGTTGATTGTGATCCTCATTTCTTCTTGTTCTTCTACATCTATGTGAACCTAGGGCTCAGTGCCTGCCCTTTCTCAAGACACTAACCCTCTGACCTGTGCCCTATTCCAGGTTGCTCAGTTGTTCTGACAGAGGCCGAGAAGAGACTCCGGTGCCCCTCCATCCTCCCACCCCACGCTGGGACAGCTCAGGCTGCAAAGCAGCCAGTATTTGTTCAGTTCCTAGTGAATGTCCCAAAGCCAGCAGAATGCAAGGGCTCCTCCCAGACACTCGGGCTGCCACCTTGACCCCACAGAGCTCCCCTCTGCCTTCACCCGTTCCCTCCAGTTACTGTTCGCAGCTGGCCTCTGATCCGCAGAGTGGAAGGGATGGTCAGGCAGGGCGACAGCCTCTTGCACCCTACACCCCTGGAGGGCCCCACAGAAGCGATGGTCTGATCCAGCCTCCCAGCCCAGAGCATGGGGTAGAAGAAGGCGCGAGGAAGAGGGCCAGTCTGCCCCAGCGGCCCCCTCCTCCTCGGGTGAAGTGGGCTCACATAGCGACAGAGGACGGCCTCTCCCAGGATGCCTCAGCACTCGAGTTCGCAAACCTGAAGCACTACCACACGCATCAGACGAGTCTTCCGAGTTCATGCAGCACTTCAGACCCAGACACTCCTGGGAGGGTCTCGCTGCGCATCTCTGAATCTGCCCTGCAGACCTCCCCACCGCTCCGGGAGGACTATGAGGACGAGGTGTTTGTGAAGGACTTGTACAAGGCCACCTCCAGCCCCACATTTGAAGCCCTTCCCCCACCTCCACCTCCTCCAGTGAGCCAGGAAGCCCCAGTGAATCCCTCGGATGACTTTCCTCCTCCTCCTCCCCATGTGGTGTTTGAGGCACTGGAAGATAACCAGGCCTGCGAGGAGCCTGGCAGCAGGTAAGTGACGCCTCCAGGCCTGGCAGTCATGGTAGAGGAGGACCAGGGCTGCCCTCGCGAACAGAAATCCAGGTGCGGGCCTCCCAAGTCCTGCTGTCCATGGAAAGCCCTCAGCTTTTCCAGAGCTCAGCTCAGCCAGAGAGCTGTTTCCTTTGCTAGCTCGGGGTGGTGAGCCTGCCAGTGTTTGTTAGGCACCAAGGAGCTAAAGGTAGTGAGAAAGAAAGCCCAAACCAAACCCTCCTCCCTGCCATGGCCAAAGAATAAAAAAGAGGACAGTATATAGAAGGTAAAAATACTACCTTATTCCCTAATAGCATATCACTTTTCAATTCCTACTCTTATCAAGAGTATAAGGGGGTCTCCCAAAAATCAAACCCCCAAATAAGTGGATTTGTCATAGGCTGTGCTAGAGAGAGAGAGAGAGCATGCTTGTAGGCAGCCTTTTTTCTATCTGGAGCCACTTTGTGTCCACAGGCAGGAACAAAGAGTAGAACTAAAATCCATGGTGTTTAGGGGAAAGCTCTTCTTTGGAAGCCACAAGAACAGGGGAACAGGGAAGAAGCATTTCCCAATATGTAGTTCCTGGGACTAAGTGAACTCTCTACCAACAAAAATCAAAACAAACCCCTTGGGGTAGCATTCCTAGTACCACAATTACGACTTGTCACCACTACTTTCTCTTCACCTCAACCTTGGAGAAAATTCTAGAGTGTGATAGCAACCTTCACCAAAACTGATTCCCATCATATCTCTCTCCTGTAGATAAACGAGACTAAACTCAGCTCAGAACCCCTGTGTGGGGGAGAATGACCCCAAAATGCAACTCCTTTCCCTTCTCCTGATATGGGAAGGGACCCTCTTGCTCTTCCTCTACCCACTTCCCTTCACCTTCTACTGACTATTCTCTTACCTCTATTTTTTATACCCTTAGCAGCAGCTCCAGCAAGTTTTCCAAGGTGACACTTACAAGAGAAAGACACATGCCTGGTGCAGTCCCTGTAGTAAGCAGTCAGATCCTGGCTCCCAGACCCCAAACTATCAGAGGTTCAGAGGCCAGTGAGTCCAACCCACACACCATCATGAGTGTTCAGCCCCAACTTGCTGGGTCTCTTGGCCAACAGCCAAGCCCAGAACAGCCACCTCCCAGCCAAACCCAAAGCTTCCTCCATGAACCAGTGAGTGGAACTCTGGATACAGAAAAGAATGTCAGTCCTGTTCCTCAGAAGACCTCAGAAGACAGCAGAACAGAGGCTCTGGCCAAGGAAATTGTCCACCAAGACAAATCTCTAGCAGACATTTTGGACCCAGACTCCAGAATGAAGACAACTATGGACTTGATGGAAGGCCTGTTCCCCCGAAACATTAATACACTGAAGGAAAACAGCACGAAGAGGAAGGCCCTGCAGAGAACTGTCAGCTGTCCAGGATGTGAAGGCAAAAGGTAAGGCCCTGGCAGTGTCCCCAGGGAAGCTCACACTAGAACTCCTTCCACAGGCTGATGTTAAGGCAAGGTATGTTTATCTGATGTTCTGTTTCCTCACGTCCCTGGCCCAAGAGAGACCTTTCATGTCAGCCTTAGGGGCGCCGTGATGCAGAGTAGAGGATAGGACAGATATCCAACAACAAAATAATTGCCTCTAATACCATTCTTCACGTTGTGTGTATCAGGCATTGTGATAATTTCCTTACTCATCATCTCATTTCATCTTTACTAGAACCTTTCTGAAAGAGCTACCACTTTTGTTTTACTAATATGAGAACTGAAGCCTAAAGGGTCATGCTCTACCGAGGTCATATTATTGCGGGCTTCTACATTTGAACTCAGGTCTCCCCGAGGCTGAAGCTAGAGAGTTTTTTGGTAGTACTGAACATTCACCTGCCCAGATCCTGAAAGTTGAGGGTGTAAGAGGGGCGTGCTCTCCTGCCGCTGCGTGGGCCCTGGGCTCTGCTCTAGAAGCTCCTCTCACCCCCCCCCCCCCCCCCACTCAGCCAGTGCCACCCACATGGTAAGAGAACGGCACGGTCTCTATTTCCCATTCCTTCCTTTTCACTTGGATTATTGCAATGGTTTCTCAAATGTTTGATTTCCTTAAAGGACTACTGTGGGGAGGATTTTTATACTCTTGATTTTCAGTGAAAACTGTGTGTATGAACAGATTGCAACTCAGCAGTGAGTAGCTTCCACACTAAATAAAAACAGAACATTTCAGCCACATTTGAGCTTGCCTTTTAGAACTCTCCCAATGTTCATAATGCCATTGCTAACAGGAACACCAGGTCTTGTAGGGAGAAGGGAAAGAGTTATTTAATACTGGAAGCTGTCTAATTGTGCTATTAGAGGTCATCCTCATGGAAGGCCCCATAGTTACCCTGTCCCTCCCTTTATTTTCAGATTTGAGCAATAGAGGCTAATTGAGATGAAATGATTTATCCGGGGCCGTGGTGGGTGTCATTCTGTTATCTGACTGCCTGCTGTTACATGACTGAGCCACTTCCAAATGCACTGATGCAGTTGCATCAAAAACCTAATTGAAGCCTGGCACCAGTGGCTCCTGCCTATAATCCTAGCCACTCAGGAAGCTGAGATCTTAAGGACAGTCCATGTGACTCTCGTCTCTGAATTCATCTGAAAAAATAAATTAAAAAATAATAACATAAGCAAAGTTGTGGCTTAAGTGGTAGAGCACCCCAGAGGGCACCCAGGCTCTTAGTTGAAGCCCTCATAGTGGCATATGCGCATGCACGCACACCCACATTTTTAGGGTAATTTTAAAATACATCCTTAGAGGGGCTAATAGTAGAAAGCTTGCCCAGCACACATAAAGCCAAAAGTTCAAATCCCAGTTGAAGAGCCTGAGGGGGAGGGATCCTTTTAGGAGTTCCTGTAGAACTCTCTTCTCAGTCAATTTGGAAGTGAAATGGTCCTGGCTGCTTTTCTGAAGGATTTCAGAAGGATGGCAGGCGCCATCTCCTGGTGAAAAGAAGCATTGTGAGAGGAGCTAGAAAGTAGCCATTGTAAGGTTTAATCAGACCATGGAAGAAGCCTATTCGTAATGCATCAGATACTCTGATAACAAAAGTTGAAAACCCATGATGTATAATGAGAACTTTTTCCTGTTCTCTCATCAACTGAGTTAACTGTAGATATGCTACTTAGATGGGCAGTCATTAAGCAGGAAACCAGTAAAGATGATTCTTTGTGTATGTGTTCCTAATTCCATGATAAAATAATGGGTGTATATTAGGTAAATAAGACCACAGACTAAATGAAATTCCTCTCCTGGAAAGCTTATCTTACTTCTGTAGAGTCATTTAGTGAGTGGTATCTGAATTCTTGTCTGGGTCTGGGCACGTAGCTCAGGAGTAGAGCCTGACTAGCGTACGTGAAGCTCTGGGTTCCATCTAGCACCACAAAAATATAAAGGCTGGGCTGAAAGGCCAGATTGAAGTCAACTAAGAAAACAGACTTCCTATGTCCTACTCATGTGAGCCCCCTGGTACTGGAGTTTGAACTCAGGGCCTTGAGCTCTCACTTGGCTTTTTCGATCAAGGCTGGCTGTGTATCATGTGAGCCATACTTCCATTTCTAGCTCTTTGCCTGTTCACTGGAGATAAGTGTCTCACAGAGTTTTCTGCTTTGGCTGAATCACCAGCATCTGGTCCCACTCCTCTTGGGCTGGGAAAGGTGGCTCAGTGGTAGAGCGCTTGTCTTGTATGCATGAGGCCCTGGGTTCGATTCCTTAGCACCACATAAGCAGAAAAAGCCAGAAGTAGCACCATGGCTCAAGTCGCAGAGTGTTAGCCTTGAGCTGAAGAGCTGAGAGACAGTGCCCAGAGTTCAGGCCCTACAACTGACCCCCCCACCCCAAAAAAAAAAAAAAAAAAACTTCTTTTCTACAGTCTTCAAACACCGTATACTCAATAAATAGATTTTATGTTTTGTATTAGGCCAGCACATTCCAAATTTTCCATGCTTAGGTAGGTATGCAGCTTACAATGAAAACTTACAAGTACCTAAGCAATAATACAGTAGGCATCAGAAGGATGGGTAACTGCAGAAAACAAGGAGATAACCTAGAGCTTGGATGTGAGCAGCACCTGGAAATACTGTCCTGTTGATCAAACCATTGCTCCATTTTGGTTTTGTATGAAACAAGAAAATAAATGGGCTAAATGGTTTGCCTGAGCCCTGACTCGCGTGGTTTTCTAGCCCCAGTGTGCTTCACTTCAGTAATTCTGGACACAGGAATCACTTATTAGTAAACGTTTGCTAAGCTATCCCAACTTCTGGGAAAGATATACAATAGATCTTTTTATGTATTTCTGGTCAGATGGTTTCGTGTGTGTGTGTGTGTGTGTGTGTGTGTGTGTGTGTGCAAATGTCCTCTGTGTCCTGGTGTGTGTGTATGTAACTGTCCTATGTGTTCTTCGTGGCCCAGGAGTGAAGACAAGGAAGCAGCAGGAGTGTTAGTCAACTGCCCTGCCTACTACAGTGTGTCTGCTGCCAAGGCTGAGCTTCTGAACAAAATCAAAGATATGCCAGAAGAGGCGCCTGAAGAGGAGGAGCAGGTGGATGTCAATGAAAAAAAGGTACATAACATAAGGAATGGGACTCCTTGTTCTGCTTCCCTCTGGTAGTTAGGCCTTCCGGCGCCAAATCAGGAGGGACAGGGACTTGTGGCAGCACCAGACCTTGCCAGAAACATCATCAGGGGCTTTGGATTGACTTGGTGCACTGGTTTGTTTCCTACCAGTAACTTTCCTGTAACTATGGCAGGTAAGCTACTGTCAGAGAGATGTCTTAACAGTCTCATAGCTAGAAGTTGGACCCCCGGGTCCCCAACTTCCTAGTCCAAGGATTCCAACAGTGTTCACAGCAGCAGTGCATGTGGTTTTCGTGTCATAGCTTATGATCAAAAGGAAAAGTATAGGCTGGTGGTGTCATTCAGTACTAGAGTCCTTACCTAGCATTGCACAAGGCTCAGGGTTTGATCCTCAGCGCCTCAAAACACAGTACTGAAACTGTTTTGTTTTCCCTTTTTGAGGGGTAGGAAAAGTGGGGCACAGGAATGGAGGGAAGAAGGATAAGTAAATGCAGTCATTGTATTCAATATATACTATGTAAAAAATGAACTCTAATTTGTGGGTAGGATGTGGGGGGGAGAGGCAGGGGAATCGAAGGACAGGGTGACACTAAGAAGAATTGTGCTCATAATCTGACTCATGAAATTTTAACCCCTTTGTACAACTCCTTAAAAATAACAATTTAAAAAGTAAATATACCGAATAAAAATTAGAGAATCTAGAAGATTTAACATTCATCTTAATCCATTCCCCAGCTCTCTTTGTAATACCTCAATGAAGAGCTTAAAGGAGCATAATTGGAATTCAGTTGTTAGCATTTGGTCCTCCTACAGAGATTTTAAATGTCAAACATTTCTAAAATGACCTTGCTACTCCCACATACCATGGAGCTCTAAGCCAGGCTGTGTCTGCAGGGAGAATGTTCTTGTCATTCCCCTTTCCCTCTCCCCTTTCCACCTGGCTTAAAGCTCTTCTGTATACCCAGGCACACACGCTCAAAAGGATGCTCCAAGCTCGCTTCGTGTTGAGAATGTAAGTGGTTGTCAGTGAAGCTTTGTTTCTTTTGTGCTATGTCTCCCAAGACTTAATGGATGAAGCATAGGACATAAACACCAGGAGGAGGAAGGGACTGGAAGTATTCTTCCAGGTCTGGGAGCTTAGGGTCATCTGCCACCTCCCAGACCACTGGTTTCTATCCAGATACTTCTCTGTCCTCATCACTCTGTTCAATGCCTCCATTCTGTGTTTACCTCAAGGACAGAGCCACATAAACACCATTGCATGTATCATGTTGCTATGGCAACATGATATATATAGAGATGTTTGTTGTCCTGGTTTCTGCTATCGACATACCTGAATTATAGTAGCAAATTACTCATCTCCCCATCTTAATGTTAGGTTTTAATTCCTTTTCATTATTTTATCATCACCTTCTCTGATAACATGGCAAAAAGTATTTTCAGACTTTGAGAATATGAAAGGATATAAGACTACTTCATTTTCTTTTTTTTTTTTTGGAGGGGGGGGAGGGGTCCGGTCGTGGGGCCTGAACTCTGGGTCTGGGCGCTGTCCCTTAGCTCTTCAGCTCAAGGTTAGCGCTCTACCACTTGAGCCACAGTGCCACTTCCGGCTTTTTTCTTTTTACTTACGTGGTGCTGAGGAATCGAACCCAGGGTCTCATGCATGCAAGGCAAGCACTCTACCACTGAGCTACCTTCCCAGCCCAAGACTACTTCATTTTCATAGGAAATAATACTAGCTACAGTTCAGGTGGGCTGTGTTTTTCTACATTGTACTGTATTTTGTTTGCACTAGCACTGGAGCTTGAACTCAGGGCCTAGGTACTTTCCCTTAGCTTTTTCACTCAAGGCTGGTATTCTATCACTTGAACCACAGCTCCACTTCTGGCTTGTTGAAGTCTCAAACTTTTCTGCCTGAGCTGGCTTTGAACCCTGATCCTCAGATCTCAGCCTCCTGAGTAACTGGGATTACAGATGTGAGCTACTGGCACCCAGTTCCCATTCAGAGTTCTTTTGGTTTGTTGTTCTTCTTTCCCCACCCCCACCCCACCCCCCCACCCCCCCCCCCCCCCGAGGCTGTAAATGACTTGGGAGTTGAAGTGAGTTTATAAATGTAAGATGATGGGTTCACTGAGAACACACATTTCTGCTTCCAGACCCTTCTTTGCAAATCTGAGCAAGCACCCGGTCTGCCCTGGAGTCTGTGGGCTGGGGAGGAAGATGGACTACTTTAGGACAGCATTGAAAACCTTCTGATTGACATACACACTGTGCTAGGGGAGCCCAAAGGAACAAGATTAACTACCCCAGAGGATGGAGGCAGGGAAGGCTACCTGGAGGAAAGAGAACTGGCCTCTATGTGAGAATGTGTCCACATGAATGGGGATGAGAGAAAAAGACATTCAAGGGACTGGGAATGTGGCTTAGTGGTAGAGTGCTTGCCTAGCATGCATGAATCCCTGGGTTAGATTCCTCAGTACCACATAAACAGAAAAGGCTTAAAGTGACTCATGGTTGAGTGCTAGCCTTTAGCACAGAGAGGCTCAGGGACAGTACCCAGACCTGAGTTTCAAGCTCCAAGACATTCAAGACAGGGAAATGCATGGGGGAAACTTGAGAGAAGAAAAATCAGATGCTGTAAGCAGGAAGGACAAATACTTGGAAATAGTTGGCATTTGGGAATGTAAAATAAAAGACTTCAAGATTAAATTAAAAAATGATCAAACAGAAAAATTATAAAGAATGATTACAAATGGGGAAAGTGAGGCAGAAAAGGATCCACATCACAGAAGTCACACAGGCCTCTGGGAAACCACGGGCGATGTAGAGCCCTTTGACATTTTCTGTTTGTTCCAGTGCATGCTTACACATTCATAAATTTCTATTGGTGCAACTTAATATATCCGATTTGGAAACAACATATGTGATCTTTAAATGAGGACAGTGTTGAAGGCTTAGCATACTCAGCAGAAAGTTGAAAATCAGCTGCTTCCTGATATCCAACACATTTTTCTAATCATGGCTTTAAAAACATGATGTTTGGTCAATACTTAAGATTGTTTCAAGGCAGAATGTAGCCTCTTACCAACTTCTGCAAAGAATTCATTTGTTATCTTATATTTGGTTATTAGTCACCTAAAATGTAATGGAAGATACTAGTATGCCCTTGCATATGAATATTTTCTATTTTAAAAACCTACGTACATGGTGACTATTATTTCCTACTTAAAGTGATAGCACAGTTCCATATTCTAAAAGCCAAGAGAAGAATGTGTGTCCGAAGACTCAGCTTTCCCCAAGGGACCATAGGCGGCTCCTCCAGTTCTCAGTTGCTCCTCATTCCTCAAGTTCCTCGTTCTCCTATAAGCTTCATTTCAGCCTGCCAAAAATTCCTTTCACATTTCTTTCAGAATAGATCTCCTTTCTGGTGGCAAATTCTTTGTCTGAGAGTGTCTTCATGGCACTTTCATTTTTTTAGTGAAGGGCGTCTGTGCTGCATCTGGAAGTCTATGCTCAGCATTCTTTATTCTTTCCACACTGTAAAAAAAAAAAAAAAAAATGCCATAGCTCCTTCTTGTTTCCTTCATTTCTGGGAAACTCCTAGTCGTATGAATGCCTGCCTTGCGTGCGATGATGTTTATAGGCATGGTGGTCTTCTCTGTGTTTGTGCTGTTTGAAGTGTGCCGAGCATCTTGATTCTGACAATTTTTATCTTTGGGATATTTTCAGCCATCATTATCTCCGAATCTTTTTTTCTTTTTTTTTTTTTGTCAGTTGTGGGGCTTGAACTCTGGGCCTGGATGCTATCCTTCAGCTCTTTGGCTCAAGGCTAGGACTCTACCACTTTAGCCACAGCACTACTTCCAGTTTTCTGGTGGTTAATTGGAGATACTCACACTTTCCTGCTTGGGCTGGCTTTGAACCACAATCCTCAGATTTCAGCCTCCTGAGTAGCTAGGATTACAGGCATGAGCCAGGCACCTGGCCAAGTCTCTGAATATTTTTATGCCTTAATCTCTTACCTTCTCAGAAGCTCAGTGAGACAAGATTAGATCTTTTCCTATTATCCCTAAAAGCTCAATTTTCTGGCCTTTAGTTCTTTAGATTGGATCTGCTCTCAAGTTCACTAATTTTCCTATCCATTCAGCCAGTCATCTCTTTAATATTTCAAACATAATATTCTAAAACGTTCATTTGTACTTTGTTTCCTTGCTGAAAATTTCTCTTTCCATTCATTTCGGGAGTGTAGGCTTTTGCCATGGGACATGACTGTATAACATGCTTTACAGACTTTGATCCTAATATCAGGATTATTTTGGGTTTAGCACTTTTTGATTCCCTGTTCCCAAGAATTGATCCTAGTACCGCTTCTCTGTATATTGAATAACCATGTGTTGTATTCTGAACATTTTCAAAAATGCTTTGACGGAGTTCTGTTACAGTCTGCTAGCAAATTATTGGTTCATTTGTGTGAGTTTCAGGAAGCAGTCACCATAGTTAGGTACACATTAAAGCTTCTGTCTCACCTTTGGGTGGTGGCTCCAACATCCATACCATTTTCAGAGCTTGTATTATGCTGTGCTAACCTGTCTCCCCACCCTACACCCTACCTGGTTCTCCTTTTCGAGGTTAGTCTGGACCTTGAGTGTCATTTCTATTACAGTTCAATTCTGGAAACGTTTGCTGTACTGTGTGGATATGCCCTAGGTATATGCAGATTGAAAGTGAGCCCAGGGCTCAAGTGAGTGCCTGCACTTAGAGCACCTTCCGGCCCAGCTCCTTCCCTCCTGTGTCTTTCCCACACACTGGCCCCAGGGACTGCTGGTCCTGCTCTTCTCAGGAATCAGAGTAGCCTGCACAGTGCCAGATCTACCTGGGAAGACCCTCAGTGAAGGGGGGAGGGGGGCGTGGAGTAATAGGACACACAGACACACACACACAGACACACACACACACACACACACACACACACACACACACGACCAG